TTCCTTCTTTAAACAATAATTTTATTTCCAATAAATTTTGATGTTAAGAAATTTCTTTTCTCATTTTTCCTGTCTCTTCTCCTCTTTTAAACCAAAAATTAAAATAATTCCAATTACTTCAACTTTCAGTAAATATATTAATGCATTGATTAATATCACACCTTTTTTTGCTATCATGGACTTTTGATATATGTTAATATATGCATACATTACTGTATAATATATTTTGAAAAAAAAATCCATTTCCTGTTTTTCAATATATTCTTTTGAAAATACAATAATTACTGCAGCTCTTTTACATATTTTATTTACTTTTTCCTATTAATGCAACACTCTCTTGCTGATTTGTAAAATTCAAAGAGGAAAAAAAAAAAAAAAGAAATTGTTTATTATTTTTGTTTGCACTGTCCTTATAATATAAGTTAGAATTTGTTTGCCGGATACTGACATAATTAAAAGCACTTAAACTTACTATTATCAAACTGAGATATTATTTACATTTCACAGAATTAAGCAAACGATTAAAGAAATAAATGGGTTAGAAATGAACATTTTTCATAACATACAATGTTAGCGTGATTTAATAGTAATAGCAATGATAATAATAATAATGGTAATGATACTATCGTTGTTATTATCATCACTTGAAAATTAAAAAAGTATATTAATAGATAAAACAAACTGCTTTATTATTGATACTTCAGCATTAAAATCTTTATTTTTGTTCAAAATGATTGCTGTATTAGTTTGGCATTGTATACTTTCAATTAAAAATTTTTAAAATTATTTATTTCATTATGTATGAAATCTTTCCATGATACGAAAATTTTTGAGATAATATAAAAAGATTTGATAATATGAAACAAATTAACATTATATTTTATATATTACTAAATGCTGTAGAATTTGATAACTCAGTTATTTAACTAAAACCATTGTATAATTTGATTAATTTAAATTTAATTATCATTAATGCCGGACTAACTATTCATCATAACAAAGATATCGTTGGTTGAAGTTAACTATGGAAAAAATAAATAACTGAAATTAAAATTTGCTTGCATTTTAACTATTAATGGTATATTTTTAAGTTGTTTATTAGTTTTGAGTTTTGACTAACTAAATTTTTTATTCTATTCAACACTTTCCCACCTGGATTATTCGAAGAGACCGGTCAAATCAAACAGGCATCCAATAACAACAGAAAAACTGAAGGTGGAAAAGACGAAGGAAAAAGATTTCAGTTTGTTTAATGTATTTAACTTTTAAGAAAAGACATGCAGGAATACTTTCTATTTATACCGCAATGATCATACTGTCACAAAATGTCAACCACTTCGCATTTAACTCAAGTTACATCTCTGAAATTTATTAGACTTCATAGTATTTTCCTATTTTTTCCCACAGCTTAAATAGGTATTTTATGAGAAAGCATTTCTCAGCTATATCATATCGTCGTTTTTTTTTGCTTTTCTTCTTTTGTTTTCAATTTGAATGACAACGTATAGAAAATCAATTTAATTTTAGTTATTTCATTTCAAAATCTTTGCTTTTGATACATTTACAAGCAAAGAGGTACCTCAGTTTCTTGCATTTCTTTTTCAGTGATAGAAAAGTCAATTCGTTTTCATTTAATATAAAGCTGTTCAAAGTGAATTGAGGACTATTCCTAAAATTAATCATTGCTAGCTACAATTAATTTATATTGTAAGCATTTTTTTCTTAATTAATGATGCAAGATTTTTTGAGTTTAAAATAATACTGCTATCAAAATCAGAAGTTTGAAAAAGCTAAAAATTAATTGCATTCATAATCGACAAATTTATGATTCATTATGTAAGTTATCAAGGTTAAAGTATATTTAAATAATTTAAAAGAAAAAAAAAACAAAAAAAAGGTGAAATAATAATTAAATAAAGATGCATTTATCAATTTTAATATTACAAGTAAGAAAAATTGTTAAGCAAATATTTAATTAATGTTTTAGATTTTCAAATCAATGTATTAATATGTTAGTGTGGTAAATTTCAACAAAAAATTGTTCAAAAGTTCAAAAGTAATAAAACAACTGATATTTGATTTGTTTCAATCTAAATAGCTTTTCAACTTCTTTTTTTTTTCTTTCAATGTCACATATTATAATTTTTACACATTTTATGAAATCTAACAATTCAGAAATTAGTGATCATATTTAACAAAATATGGCATTGTTTTAAAAGGTGACATAGAACATGATGATGACTCATTTCAAAAATCGGATGAAATTTACAGTGCGCTGGCAACAAAGTGAAATATGAAATATGAAATTTTGTTCTCTTCAATAATTCCTCACATATGGAAATTTGATGGAAATTGTGAACAAAAATTTTAACAAAAATTTTTTCAATTTTTTTTATAAAATTATGCACTTTTTTACAATAAAACCATTTTTTTTGCATGAAAATTTTCATGTACTTCGTATTTATATTTAATATTATTTTTAATTTGTTTAAAAAAAATATTAAAAGTTGTATGCATAAATATTTTTGAAATATTTTTTAATCACATACGCTACCATTCCCAATTCAAAATTAGTGTCAAAGTTTGTCTTTGAGAAATGTTCTTCCACTTTTTATTTTTTTTTTCGGAAGATATATTTTTATTTACTTTTCTATCGTCAACATTGGCAACACTGATATCGAGAGAAAGATTTTCTTTCTTTTTTTTTTTTTTTTTTTTTTTGCATCATACTTCTTTAAACAATCGTTTAAGAAATGAAAAAAGTCTTCTGTTAATTTTGATGCTTTTTATATTTACGTACAAATGTTTAAGATAAAATTTTATGCAACATTATTAACAAGTTGAAATTTCTCAATAGCGATAGTAATAATAACAACAATAATAATAATTGATAAAATAATAATATGCCTGATATTAACTGTAGTAATAGTGCGCTATTACCAATTGCATAAATCATTTATCAATTGTCTTCAATTTGTTCTGTGCTTTTCACTTCAACTAAGTAAAAATCAGTTTATTATGGTGACAGTGAACAGAAAAAATGCCATAACGAAATATGATTTTCATTACATAATTACTGATTAAGTTAAATAAGCCATTCAATGTTACAACATTCAACTAATAATTTACTATCATTAGTGGTAATAATGTATATCTTTTAAAGTTGTGTGGAAGTTTTTTTTTTTTTCTTTTTTCAAAACGTATCAACTGAGAGGTGACACTTCCTGCATCTTACGCAATTCCAAAAATTTCAATTGAGTTAAGCAAACATATGTATTCTCTGCTAATCAGTCATTGAAAGTAGAATTGACTATGCATTTGTGTGCATTTCGCGCTAAGAAACTGATAAATTAGGAAACGAAATTTAATTTTCTTTTCTTTTTTGCAAAGTTACTACTGGCTATATCATTTCTTCCACAACATTTTTAACATAATTGATTGCCTAATATATTTATGATTAATTAGCTGATAAAAACAATACGTGGGATATGCAAAATTATAGAAAGTAATAAAACATTTATTATTATATTTCGCATCACTTTATCATTACTGCTTATCCTACTATTTAATCAATAATGAAAACAATTTTTCCCCTAAAATAAATAAATGAAGGATTGATTTTAGGATGGTTCGAATAATACCGACAATAAGTGAAAATGTGAGCGCAAATATTGTTGTGGAAAATCTTGCTAAAACTGATGAAATTTTGTTAAATATATTAAAAGATGAAAAGGCTCAATCGAGGAAGCCAACAATTTATCATAAACTCAGCTACTTCTTAACAATGCGCATGATGATCGCTGTACTGATGTCATCGTGCTTGATGGCATTATCAGTGACAACAACAAATCTTGCTGGATCACTTGTTTGTATGGTTGTAAAAGATGATGAAAATATGGCTAATTCACGAATTACACGGTAATTTTTATTTCCTTTTTCATTTTAAAATTAGTTTAAAAATTTTAATAAAAACTTTGCATTCTATCGAATAATTTTTTCATTTCAAATTAAATGTTTTTATCATCTTTTTTTTCAAAAATGTTTAGATGAAGTTAATTGTTTATTAATTTTGTCTGACTGTCAGTTAATAAAGCTTTGAAGGAATATTTGTAAAAATTCTATGTAACTGAGATTTTTATGAATTTAGAAGAAAAAATTTTTTAATATAAATCATTCGATTGTCCGATGATGCATAACATGTATGATAGTACAATTAAATATCGTTCAGTTGGATTAATTTTTCGAACCTTTATTCAGTCGTTCTGTTTTTTTTTTTTTTTTTTTTTTTTACTTTCAAAAGATTTATCCAATAATTTCAAACAGGTATTTGATTACAAATTTTAGGAACACTGATCCATCATGCTTAAATTCTAATTATCTTCATTTAGCTAAACTGATGGGAAAGTGTTCGGACGGATAAAGTACATCTTTTCCTTTTTCTCTTTTTTTTTTTCATTTTTATTTGAGTGGAAAATTTTTTAACAAAATTAGAACCAGTTACAAAGGTACGAAATGCGAAAGAATAACACAAAATAATAGAAGTAAATAAAGTACAGGAAGAGGGGGATTAATAAATGGTTATTTTTAAAAAACTAAGGTAATGAATTATTAAATTTAATCATTCATTAAAAATTGGAGATATTCGTTAAAAATCATTGAAATCAGGGAATTTTTTCATAATAGCTTTGAATAAATAGATTTGCAAATATTTTTATGCATTTTAATATATTTCAAAAATTTTCAAATTAGTTTTCCTTCAAACGATTTGAAATGAGTTTAAGAAATTTTCAGAAATAACTGACATAGTTGATGATAATGTGCAGTATGCACTGAAATAAGAAAACGAAATAAAGTTATAAATCATAATTTGATATTTATATTTTTACCTTATTATCAATCATTTGGTTGAAATAACAGCATTTAGACCTAGCTCTACATTGAAATTTAAAATTAACAAATCTGAGGTAAGATATCAAAATTTGTTCAGATATCAAAATGGTATGGAAAAAGGTTTAAACGTCTCAGAACGAATCACACATTCATGCTCACCTAACATAATGTCAAAAATTGGGATGAAATTTGATGAGAGGCCTGATTCAGAGCATCTTTCGCAGTTAAATGCTAATGGCAATCAAAATTATATTGAGATACGGTCTTGTCACGCTGATGAACGTTTAAACTGGACAATGCTTCAACAAGGTTCTTCTCCCTTTTGATTAAATTTTATCATTTCATATCTAAATATTATGCAAAAATGAATCGATCGAGATTGCTGCCAAAATTAACATTTTAGGTATGGTATTATGTGCGCAAAATATTGGTTCTCTTTTTATGTTAGTGGTTGGTCCACAAGCGGATCGTTTAAATGGCAAATGGACAGTAGCTGTGGCGCTATTTGTCACTATCATTAGTAATATGATATTACCGCTTTTTGCTGCAAAACATTTTATTTTTGCAATTATTGCTCGGATTCTTTGTGGAATAGCTGATGCTTTCCTTACTCCATCGATTAGCTCTATGATCGTTCGATGGTTTCCACCGAAAGAGCGTTCATTTGCTATTGGATTTATTACGGGTGGCCGACAAATTGGTTCCCAATTTTTGCTTTGCATTTACAATTTCACTAATTTTCATATATTACTGATTTCCAAGTTCAAAAAAAAAAAAAAAAAACATATATTAATGATTAAAACGTAGTTATCATTCATTGCTTACAAGGGATATTTCTGATTTAAAATCATGTTGATTAATTAATAATTAATTAATATATTTAATTATTAGATGACTTGGTTTTATTTAATCGATTATATTTTAAAAATGTAGTTCAATTATTTTAATTTGAAAACTGGTTTTTTTTTTTGCTTCTCCAAAAATAATAATGTTGCTAAACAAAAGAAATGAGAATTTATAAAAGAATGCAGAAAGTAATTCGTGTCAAATATCATTTTTAAACAATTCAAACTCTGACAGTAAATTAAAAAATTTGTTTTAATTTATCCAGCTGAAAGTTAAAATAAGAATTTGAGACAGATTTATTTTCAGGAAGTTTACTTATTTTGCCAGTGTCCGGATGGGTTTGTCTCAGAAAAGATACATTTGGCGGTTGGAAATTTACATTTTATATTTCGGCAATAATTGCTGCGCTTATGCTACTTATCTGGTTGATTATGTCAGCTGATAAGCCATCAAAGCATTATTTCGTAAAAAATGAAGAAAAAATGTATATTTTGAGGAAAATTAGCGAAGAATCTTTGGGAAAGGTAATTTGTTTATTTGTTAGAAAGAAAAGCAACCTAAATTGGAAATTTTTTTCCTTTTATTAAAAAAAAAAAATAAAATATTTCTTTATTATTATCGTTTAAATTTTAATGAATGAAATATAAATTTGTTGACAATAAATAATGGATAATAAAAGCCTTTTCAACACTACTGTTTCGTTTCATTTCAAATCCTTTTCTTTTTCTTTATGAACTTATTTTTCAATCAAATTTTTTTGTGATTAACTTCAGATGAAAAAACTATCGTTTTTTTTTTTTTTTTTTTTTTTTTTTTTTTTTTTGCATAGGTTAACAAAAACTAAAAATTTGCATAATTTCATATAAGCAGCAAATTTGAAAACAAAAAAGGAATTGTAAATTTTGCATCTTGTAAAAAAAAAATGACTAAAATTTCATATTTTAATAAATTTATAACTTTAATTTATCATTTTGTTAGAGGAAAGAACGGAAAAATACACCATGGAAAGAATTACTAATATCACGTCCATTCATTATGGGAATATTAGCAGTAGTTTGCCAAGAATATCCGCTCGTTATCACTACAACAGTAATTATTTTATAATTGTTAAAACTTTATTTACAATACTATACACTTATGAGCAAAGGAAAAAGGAGAAAAACGGAATTTGCATACATGTGACTCATACAAATACCAAATTTATTGATGAATTGTAATATATATGAAACTGATCGATAAAGTAATTACTTTTAGTTACTACCCATTTATATGAAAGAAGTACTTCACCTGTCGGATGTTCGCAGCACTTTATATTCTGCACTGCCACTACTAGCATTATGGATCAGTAAGAATCTTTCGTCATCACTTTCGTCTTGTCTGAGTGCAAGAAAAAATGGATGCTGTGTGATGAAAAGGACAATTCTTGTTAAATCATTCAATGGCATCGGTTCAGCTGGTCTTGCTTTTGGTCTCTTTATCATACCGCTGATAACACATGACATGCAAGCATTGATTGTCGTTTGTATTGCAAATGCATTTGCTGGTAATTATTAATTTAACCAAATTAAGAACTCATTTTTACTATTTATTAATCGTATGATTTTTAGTAATCAATACAATTTTTTTTTTTTCTTCTTTTTCCTTTTTTGTTTTTGTTGATTAAATTATTAATTAAGGTATTTTTGCAAAAAAAAAAAAAGTTGAATAGAAGTTTTTATCATTTAGAAATTTACCTTATAGTAATTTCAGGTTTACACACTCCTGGTGTATTTACTGCATTATTGCAGATAGGTCCGGCATATACAGGTTCCATTACAGGCATTGCTTTTTCTGCTGGACATATAGCTAAGTTAGTTGCTCGTTTAATATTTGCAAAAAATTTTAAATTGATTTTTAGTAAATATTGTTTCTGTGATAGAATTTGAACTCGATTAGTTCTTATTTTTTAATTAGATTTTTTTAAAATTTGTCATAAAAAGCGATTGATTATATTTTGAAGAGGCAATATCTAATGATAATTACGAAGAATATGAAGAAATTATCAAGATATCCTCCCAAACAGTAATTCGAAATGTTTAATGGTGTTAATGGTGAAAAGTTCACCATCACAAAAATTTTGATGCACTTATCATCATTTTAAAAAACAAAGGTGGCATGATCTTTTCAATAATTTAAGCATTGTGAATAAGCTGACAAATGGATTGATTCTACATTCGTGGTCCGGTTCAGATAGTCAGTGGAAACTTCTTTATACGATATCAGCAATTGTTGCTTTCTTACCTGTGATATTTTTTACTCTTTGGGGTTCCGCTGATCTACAATCATGGGCAATCCCGAAATTGAGGGAAAAAGAATCAGCTGGATCTGAGAAGAAAGATATGAACATGAATATCAGCAAGACTGCCGAAACAATATCTTCAGCTTATCATGCCGAAACACTTCCCACACCTGTCTGAGGTCAATAGTATTACCGTAACTTTGATTCAATTTTTTTCTTTTTCTCGCTATCCAAAGCTAAAAGGAGTCGAGAGAAAGAAAAATGTGCTTCAGCTATCGTAAAAAATTTTTAGGTCTAATTATTTGTTATTAGGTATTTTAATTGGGTTTTAATTCATAAAAGGTATTGTGTGATAACCTAATGCTATATTATCACTTCTACCTCGTTTCCTTCTTTTTTCTTTTAGAAACAAATTTATCAGTTTATGTTACTTAGTCTTTTTGAGCTTTCAAAATCTTTTCAGTTTATATGAAATGCAATGTTAGGAGAATTTGAAGGCTGAAATGTTTTAAAAAGTTTCGAATTTGAACAAATAGAACATTTTTAATATGCAAAATTTTAAACATAAAAAAAATAAAAAAGAACGAAACGAAAATTATTGTGCTTAAGTTTTTATACATTTAATTTAATTAATTAAATTGCAACTTCATTTCCTTTGTACAAATTGTTTCGCTTCATGCGTACATATTGCAATATATACTGATTGTATGAACAGGAAATGATGACATTGATGATTGTTTTTTATTTTTCTCATATACTACTACTTTACAATTATGAGTAATAAAGTAATTATGTATATTTGTTTAAGTACTGCTTATATTTATTTAGTTGGCAGTATTTCTCTTATTATTCAAGCAAACATCTCGTATAAGCGGGTTTATTTGTATCAGAAGGAATGATTTGTCAATTGTATTATTTTATTCGATGAATTCCATTAATAAATCAAATATGCCTGCTTTTGTTAATGAACTTTCAAAAAAAAAAAAAACAATATTATAATTGTGATTGATTTGAAGCACTTTTATTTATGATATTAATATTTTATCAATGCAAACATTAATTTAATTTAGACACAAAAAAAAAAAAAAACTTGAAGATATAGTAAATGAAATTAGACGAGCAAAAAAAGGGTGTGTAAGATGCGGAACTAAAACACTAGCATCAAGAATTCTATCATGCATTGATTTTTTTATGCAAATTTTTATATCTTTCAAGAAGGCCATAATTACGCATTAGATTTATTGTGTCTTTTTTTCGAATCAAAGCAGGTAGTACGATACATCCTGGTAGAATTTCTTCATAATTTTTTTTTTTTTTTGTATTTTTAATGTTTTAAAATATTTTATCTTTAGAACAAATTTCTTAAGTATTTAAAAAATTTTTTCTTTTCTTCAAAGTACGACAATGTTACGCTTGGCAAATGCATTGATAAATCAAAAAAATGTTCGGAATGCTTTGACATCACTAATAAATTGTCGCGCAAAGAAGACATATATTGCAAATTATACTATTATCGATCATAATTATGATGCAATCGTTGTTGGAGCTGGTTTGTCTGATTACGATTTTAAAAGGAAGCTAACTTATAGCAATTAAGTATCATCTAATAATTTATCATATATGCTCCTAACTGATAACAATTAGCGAATAAAAAGTTGTGCATTTTTTGTTGATATAAAAGTAGAGTAAGAGATGCAGTAATAATAACGGTAAACTCATTCATCGTTATTGTATATACTTGATAAGTTAATTAATAATTAACAATTAAGACATTTATTGCTTTCAATAAATTTGCTTGTTTTACCATTGATAATGCTATCATGTAACAATCATTTACTAATAAATGATGAAACTATAGTAAGAATAACGAGTTCATTTATTACAGATTCTATTTCATTTCTTTATTTAATAGATATTCTTACAATTGATGAACTATGTAAGATTTTCCATCAAATTCTTTTCCTTCTAAAAATTTGTTTTTTTTTCTTTTTTAAAAAGTTAGAACCAAACATTATTAATTAGTTTTACTTTCCTACTATTTTCCACTTACCATTGATGGACAAATTTTATTAATAATTGCTTGTTCCAGGTGGAGCAGGTTTACGAGCAGCAGCACGTCTAGGTGAAGGTGGCTTACGAGTGGCGGTCATAACAAAATTATTTCCAACAAGATCGCATACTGTAGCTGCACAAGGAGGTATTAATGCAGCAATTGGTAGTATGAATCCGGATAACTGGAAATGGCATTTTTATGACACTGTAAAAGGTTACTGATTTCATAGAACTTTTCAAATGGTTAAAGACTTGAAACAATTAATTGTATGTGGTTTCACACTAACCAAAATTTTAAGGTATCAAATCATCTTTTTAACATCACATATTTGAATTTTAAGCAATGGCATTATGACAAATTTTGGTAACAAAAAATTACTAAACTATTTGGTGGCAAAATTTTAATTTCTTTCACATTCCGTCAAAACACTTCTGATTTGGGTTGAAAAGTAGAATGTAAAAATATAGGAAGTGATTGGTTGGGTGATCAAAATGCTATACATTATCTAACAAAAGATGCTGTTCGCGCGGTAATTGAATTAGAAAATTATGGGATGCCATTCTCGAGAACAGCTGAAGGAAAAATTTATCAACGCTCATTTGGTGGACAGAGTAATAATTATGGAAAAGGAGGAGTTGCTAAACGGTTTGTAAAAGCTTTTTCTGTTTACGATAATTTAAATTCACTTTTTAATGAGAAAACCAAGAATTATTTGCAAGATTTGACATAGAGTAAATTTAATTAAATCATATTTTAAATCTTTTCAACAAACATTTTAGACGTGGAAAGGTTTATTTCAGAAGAAGACAATGCTTTTTCTTATTAAAAAATACGTTAATTTAATGATTTATGAAAATATTTTATTCGCATTTTATCTTAGCTCAAATATTTCTACACGTCTTTTTTTAATTCCTTTTTATTTCAAATATCACAATGGTTAATCAATTGATTATAAGGATTTATGGTACAATTTCAATTAACCATCGCTTCGAAACAAAAGAAAATTCATTATCTTAAAAGATTGAAGTAATTTTAATCATTGCTTTCGTTCGTAGTACATGTGCTGTAGCAGACCGTACGGGTCATTCAATGCTTCATACACTTTACGGCACATCGTTACAATTTCATTGCGACTATTATATCGAATTTTTTGCGCTTGATCTTCTTATGAGTGATAAACGATGTATTGGGATAATTGCGATGAATCTTGAAGATGGAACATTCCATCGTTTCCGGTTAATTTACTTTTTATACATTAATTGCTCATTTGTATTATCATATATAATAAACATCGTGGAATAATAATTTCCTATGCAATGCGATATTATATAATAAATGACAACGGTAGTTCGGGAAATATAATGGAAAAAATGTTTATTACTTGTAGGGCACCATTTACCGTCTTGGCAACAGGCGGCTTTGGACGAGCTTATTTTAGTTGCACTACAGCACATAGTACCACTGGTGATGGTAATGCAATGGTCATTCGTGCCGGTTTACAAACAACCGATATGGAATTTATCCAATTCCATCCAACCGGAATTTATGGTGTTGGTTGTCTGATTACAGAAGGATCACGAGGTAACTAAATTGTATATAATTCTTCCTGTCAATTTTTTGCTAATATTCCTTTTTTTGAGTGTTTGAACAATAATCAGTCGTTAATTCAGTAATATCATTATAATCATTAAAAAACAAATGCATTAAATATCATTTTTTGATTATATGAGAATTTTTTAAATGACTAGGATTATAGGAGAAGGTGGTTACTTAGTAAATAGTAAAGGTGAACGATTCATGGAAAAGTATGCTCCAAAAGCATTAGATTTGGCATCTCGAGATGTTGTGTCCAGAGCAATGACCATTGAAATAATCGAAGGTCGAGGAGTTGGCAAAGAAAATGACCATATATACTTGCAGCTTCATCATATCCCTGCAGATTACTTACATAACAAATTACCAGGTCTATATATTTATATAACTAATAATCTAATTAACAAAGTTACAGTTAATAAAAAAATCTTCGAGTCTGAAAAATTGATAATTGCATTCCTTTCCGGCAGTTTAGTTACACCGTAAATAGAAAATCTATTGTATTAAATCTTCCTATATATACATATATTTACATCGAATTATAAAATAAAACCATCTTTTACATGAATATTAAAAAAAAAAGCCCTGTAAAAAATTTTATTTGAAAATTAATTTTTTTTTTTTTTTTTACCAACAGGAATAATGGAAACAGCCAAAATATTTGCTGGTGTTGATGCGACTAAAGAACCAATACCTGTAATTCCAACGGTTCATTACAATATGGGTGGAATACCAACTGATTATAAAGGACAAGTAATAACTTTTTCACATAGTGAAGGTGATCGAGTAAGTTTCGTTCTATCAAATTTCAAGTAATATCTTTGCAAAGTAAGTGAGGAAAAAAAGAATGAACAATAATAGTTAAATGAATGCTTTTCTTAAATCGGATACTTGAAAAATCTTTCATGATTTGGAAAGATCTTTGAGGAATATAAAATAAAGGACAGGAAATCAGGAAAAGATCATAAGTTAAATAATCTATAAATAATTTCAAATGAAAAACAAAACTATAGTTAAAAAAATAAATAAAACTATTAGAAATGTAATACTGCAGTTAGTCCCGGGATTATTTGCATGTGGCGAAACTGCAGCACATTCAGTACATGGTGCTAATCGACTTGGCGCTAATTCTCTCCTTGATACTGTCGTGTTTGGACGAGCTTGTGCTAATAAGTATTACTTTTTAAAAGAAAAACATCTTTCTTCATTTCTAATTATATATATTAGAATGAAAAACAGAATAAGATAGTGTAGCATAATTTGTGTGTGGGAAACTGAAAATTGAAATTTAACTTAGTTTGTCGCCTTTTCCAAAGAATTAAATTTTCTAGTTTTTTTTCTAGTAAAATAGTAACTTTTAGAAGCTTTATTAATCAAATATTTACAGCATATTGGAACAAGCAAAACTAACCAATTTCAAGCTTCCGGATTTACCGCCTAATGCAGGTGAAGCTACGCTTGCTAACGTGGATAAAATGCGTTTTGCAAAAGGCGACATCTATACTGGTGCTTTAAGGTTAAAAATGCAAAAA